GCTGCTCCAGGTTTTACAGCAGGAGATCGCTGTGGTCGCAAAACCACTTGAACACTTCCACGCAGCGCTCTACGTCCCGGAGGCTGACGAAGCTGCACTCGTCAGCCCTCTCCCTCATGTAGCTCTGCGAGATGTAGAGCACCTCCGTGATGACCGTCAGTTCATCTTCTGTTGCCGGGACCGAGTCGGTGAGCCTCTGAACAATCTGCTGGATGTACATTTTCTCCGTCAGGTTGTTCAGCTGCCCAAAATCCCACACCAGAGGGATCATGCTGGGGGGGAGAGCGTGGACGCGGTACACGAGCTGCCTCAGTGGGATGGAGCCGAGCTTCTCTCTGGTCTCATCTGCTTTGACGCGGTAGCCGAGACCCGCTGACTCCAAGCGTTGAATCATCTCCTCTTTGTGCTTCCGGTAAGGGTTGCACGCGGCGATGATCTTCAGGCCCGAGTAGGGGTCCAGAGGCTTCCCTTCTACCGTACGGTCGCACAGCACCTCCTTGATGCTGCTAATGGCTTCAGTCGTGTTGGCTTCATCGAAGAACAGGATCGTGTCCAGCCCATAGAGCTCCTTATTGGTCTTGGCGACAGCCTCTGCTTCCCTGACCTTATCATAAATCATCGCTGCGCTGGTGCCTCCGTGGACTTTCACTAGTTTCATGTTCTCTGCGTTGAAGCCAACCTTGCGCAGCTCACACAGGAACTTGATAAGCCTGGTTTTCCCACAGCCTGTTTCTCCCATGATAATAACTGGGATGCCACATCTGAACCTCATCTCAATGGCCAGGATTTTGAGTACGTTGTCCGTCGTGAGCTCATAAGTTTCATCGGGGTCCATGGGCCACTCGATTCCCAAAACCATGCACAGTTTCCCTAGCTTCTCGTGTCTGGGCAACCGGTCAAAGTCCGTGTTGAAAGGAACCCGCTGAAGCAACAGCCCCTTGTACAGCTGGGAGGTCATGACGTTGCTTTTGAGGATATTGCCATTCACAGGACTGACGGCGTCAATGCCACCAGTGGCGTTGCCCTGAAGATGGAAGCCAATGAAGGTCATGGAGACGTGGTCTTCATTGAAGAATAAGTATGGATGGGGCTCCGATTCCCACTTCTTCCGAATGCGGAAAGGAAAGAGATCTGCTTCCGTGACACCCTCCAAGTCAAAGGTGGCTCGCCCTGAGCTCTGATCGGAGATGTTCAGAGAGGGGGTGGCAAAATCCCGGGCCATTAGGATCATGAAGGTCACCACAAAGCGTTTGAAACCCTGCAGAGTGTCGTGGACAAATTCAGGGTTACAAAAGACTGAAGCTTCACAGTCTTGCAACTGGATGTTCAGGAACCAGACGAAGTTCCTCAGCTCCGACCACGAGGGGTCCATCACGCCGCAGTGCACGAGAAACCGCTGCAGGCACTCCGCGGGACTCCCCTCGACAGAGCCCCTGTCATAGCTGAACAGATCCAGGTTGTCCCCAGAGTCGAATAGTGTCAGGTACTGGAAAGGTCTCTGGAAGGCCTCGCTGCAGAACTCCACTGGATCCATTCCTGGCTCCAGGGCATCCCGAGACGGGCTTCCCTGCGTCTCCATTTCCAGCACTTCTTTAGGAGACTTGCATGTGATCTTAGGGAAGACCTCCAGGAAACTGTACTTCAATCCCTGCAGAGGACAAGAATAAGCCATAGTAAAGGTGCAGCGTTATTTTTTTATTTTATTTTTTTTTTATTTTTTTTTACAGGGTTCCTTCCCCATCCTCCCGTGTGGCAGACGCAGCATTCGCGTGATGCCGGGGGGCAACTTGCTGCAGGTTTCCACAACCAGGCGTCTTAGAGACATGGGAGAAGGGGAAACAAGCAGAACAAACAAGTCCCTGCACTAGCCATTATCTCTGTCTACGGATTCTCCTCCCTGCAAGCTTGCTACCCCCTTCTTGTATCCTCCTGGACTGTTCAGGACCTTCCCCTGGAAAGATCCAGTTCTCCCGCTCCAGCCCTGCCCTGCTTTATTTTATTGCTTTCTACATCCAAACGCAAAGTCATCCAGGTTCTGCACCTCCCCCCAAATGTATGCATTTGTATCTCATTATGCAAATATTACGACAGAGCCAGTACAGCCAGCACCGAGCAACACTGACTGACGCCCGAGTCAAGGACATCCTGGGAGCAGTTGCAGTTGTGATATAAAAATGATGATGCCTCTAGCACTGCTCACTGGAGATGCACAAGGGATTGTCCTAAATTCAGATACAAAGTCTCCCTGGTCTAGTACTGGATAGCCTGCTGTATCTGCTCACACAACATGCCCTCTGAATCACACACACCTTGAATAAAGAAAAAAAATAGATCTTTCCTTGACAGCATCTGCCAGGGATGAGTCAGAGTCCACGCACATGCAGCTTTACCATCTCTTTCCCCTGGCAGAAACTGCTCTTACCATATTTCCTCATTATAAATATGCACCCTAATTTCCAGCAGCTGAATTTGGGGTTATAAAAAAGGTACATGGTGCATGAGAGAAGATATGGTATACCCCTATGAGCTCCATCAGTGTATCCAAGCACATACCCACACGCAGACAAGCAAAAGTAGGTAGAAATGGTGTAGCCAGAAACACGTACCAGCCTCGTGGGCTTCTTTGGCGCTGGATCCGTTTCAAGGATTTCAATGACATACAAGTGATGCGGCTGGCGTAGCCACATGTTCCCATCAGCGTCCGCCAGGTACCGCAGAACTAGCAGCTTGAAGAGGAACTCTGCAATCCCGCCTCGTACCTAAGTACATAGTCAAATTGGAAAGGGTCATCGAGGGCACGTATATTCCCCTCTTATGTTTTATGCTTAAGGATCCTCTGGTCAGAAGAACAACACCTCCTGGCAGAGTTTAGAAGACAGGAAGTCTGTAAAGACAACCGTCCCCTCCACGAAAGGGAGCAGCTGTGACGTACTCACCGAGGAGGTGATGTCAATATGGAATATCATGGGCTTTTGCTGGTGCTGCCGTCTCAGGAAAGGCAGGAGAGATCTCAGCACTTTGCTTTCATCTACTTGGGGTTCAATCAGCCTGATCGTTTCTAGACGTGCAGTCATGTCATAGCACTTTTCCAGTTTTTCGTGCAGCCTTTTCACATAGAGAGATTTTCCTGCGATGAGAAAAATACCCTGCAAGTTAGCTATAAGAACCAAAAAAAAGAGGGAGGATTGTTTAGATATCCTGCTTCTCCTGATGGGCCAGGTCCCCTCCCTTTTAACTCACGCATATCCCAAAGGAAAAGCTCTGGGAGGCACGAGGCTGGGTCACACTGGCTGCACAAGCCTGAATTACTTATAGTCCCTGGGGAGAAAAGCCGGGCTCCTGGCACCAGGCGGGGGTAGGGGGAAGCAGGGGCGAGGCAGAAGAGAGCAGTGACCAGAATCAGAAGCAGACCGTTCCTAAAGCCCCACGTGAGAAGCAGCAAGGAGCCCAGTGCGGCATCAAGGACGCATGCACGGCGCTTTCCTGCCTGCACTTCAGCCTTGGTGCTTTCATGCCCGAACAGACCCACTGTGACACCCAGCATCTTACCCACGCCGGCTCTCTTGGAGGACACGATCCTAACACACATGTTGTCCTTGAACACAGAGGCTGCTGACTTGGTAGGCTGGGCGACCACGAAGTGGCTCCTCAGATACTCCTGGATGTCCTTCAGCTCCTTCTGGGGGGTGGCGTGCACCTTGTACTGGCTGAAGGCAGAAGGGATGTAGCAGTGCTCCCTCTCGCAGTCGCACAGGATGACGAGGCAGTAGCCGTCCAGGTGGGACTGCTTGAGCAGGCGCTGGAACAGCTCCTCCGCTCTGCACCCGACGTCGTAGCTCAGCTTGTCGGCGTACAGCATGGCGTAGATCTTCCCGCGGTTGCCGGGCGTGAGGCACCGGCGCAGGAAGAGCCCCACCTGCTCCAGGCTGGTCTCAGGTGTGCATAGGAGCACTTCGTCGAAGGTGGGCAGGGGCTGGCCTGGGCTGCTCATGTAGATGGCCAGTGCCGAAGCCAGCACCTCGGCCCTAGGACAAGTGATGAGGTTGGGCCTGCCGGCCTGCAGGCACTGAGGGAGAGCTCGCTGAACATGCTGCTTCTCTTGATGGGCCAGATGGTCAAGGCAACTGCCCAGAGCATCCATGTCCAAGCAGTTTGGCAAGAAAGCACGCATGTCTTCCATGTAGGACCCCCAGACACGCTTCAGCTGGACAGGCAGGTCCTCCGTGGCCAACACTGCTGGCAAGTCCGGGAGGCTCGTGTGTGCGTGTCTGGATACCACCCATCTGCAAACCACGTCCACATCCCTCTCGGTGCAGTTTTGCTTCACAAATGAAAGCATCATCAAGGCTCTCTCGCTGGGCTTCCCTTTTGTGAGCTCCCCGCACAAGTAAACCAGCTGCTCTGCCGTGTAGTAGTTCAGGTAGAAATACCGGGAACGCTTTTCGGACACAAAGTCCTTCCACCGCACCAGGAAGCTCTCCATCGTCCTGCAGAGCTGCGGGAGCAGCGCTGTCACCTCTCCCCTCCCTACAAGCTTGGGGATGGCTTTCAAACAGAAATCCATGCTTGTGCATGCCTTGCTCCTGGGCGAGCAATACACGTAGGCGGCCCAGGCTCGGCAGAGCATGTTCCCTGCCGAGTACAGGTCTATAAAGGACTGCGCCAGTCTCTGGACACTGGAAAATACCTGTGGGGGACAGCACACAGAGCAGCCATTGTCAGAACTGTGCAGGGTCATCGGCACCCAGCTACCTGGTCCCTGAGCATCTAAAAAGAGCTCTGATGCTTGTGCAAGAGCTGAACTGGACTGAAGCTGGGCGAGTGGAAAGTCCTAACAGGGCTCACAGCTGCTCTTCAGCAACTCTCTGGGTGCCTGTGGTCCCAGACAGAGGCTGGCTGCTCTGCCGAGAGTCAACAAGCAGGCCAGGTGCGATGCGGCTGGCCAGGTGGGAATGAAAAGGCCAGGTGGCTTCACACAGGCCCAGGCAGGGCTACCTCCTACTAGGGAACAGAGGGTGGCAAAATCTTTCATAGCCCTTCATCAGTCCCCCCCCTCCCCACTATTTAAAGTGTAAGCAACTGTTTAAAAACAGCTGCTGGAGGGCTTGAGGCCAGCCCCGCCGCCAGCCAGGAACTCCTCTCCAGAGGCCAGGAAACATCTCGCATGCACAAAGGCAGCAGTGGGAACCTGACCTCTGAAAACTTGTCCACCTCCATGCTCTGGTCTCCCTTGCCCGACATCAGCATCAGCTTGTTCAGCAGTTCTCGCAGTTCCTCCAAGGAGTACTGCCGTATCTCGTCGCTGTCCCCGTGGCTCTCCGAGAGCTTCAGGCGCAGTACCGTGTCCAGAGACACCTGTCAGGGAACAGCAAATCACCATGAGCACAAGGAGACTTCATTTCCATGCTCATTTCTTTACACCGTGCACCTGAATGCTTGCGGTAGCTCTCCTCTCTGCTGGCTGTAACTAGGGGCAGGTAGGACAGCCAGGGTCAGCAATTACCCGAAGTCCGTGCCAGGCCCCAAAAGGCTCTGGGCAAGGTGGTGGAAGAGCAACAAGTATACCGGGATTCATCTAGAGGCTGAACGGTGCCTCAAAATAGTCTTCCCACCCTCAGGTCTTCCCCAAGCCGGTCCCGGAAATGGTTTGTGCACCAGAGACAGGATAAAACCATGCTCAATGTCATCTCCAAAACCCCGACTCCTTGCCCAGGGCAAGGAGAGCGTTTGCTTAGGGACGAAGCAGCCAGACAGGCGAGATGGACAGGGCAAGTAGAGGTTTCACCTTCTGGCCCTCCGGCGGGGCTCTGATGACGTACTCCCCGTGGTTGTTGATGTTGGTGGCTAGCGACAGAGAGGACAGCTCCACAGACCCGTGGCTCTCTTTCACGGTCTTCAGCCACTCCAGGTGCCGAGCAGAATCACGCTGCAGGGAGAAGGGGAAGGCGCAGTCCAAGTTACTGCCAGGAAACACTTCTCCTTATGTCCAGGGATTCAGGCAGCCAGATCCCACTGAACACTGGCACAGCCCAGAGCACCCTGCATGCCAGAGCTGCGTGTGGGGTCACCGAGGGGCACAGACCGAGCACCCCGGTTTCTGGGGGAAGGATCCTGGTTGCAGGCTCATGCTGAAGGCTGTCCTCACCTGACCCACGCACAACTGGGTCCCTGGTAAATCGTGGGAACATGAGCTGCATTGCTCCCACGCGTTCTTGGCTATGGAAGTGGGTGCACCTTAGTCGCACCAGCCAGGCCACAGCCCCAAGAGCATCTCGCAGCACAGCCAAGTGCCTGCACTGTGTGAAAGCCTCTTTCTCTACTAGGGTAGCCTGCAGCGAGTTAAGGAAAGACCAGGGTGGCTTTGTCTTAGCAAATTAAGTCTAGAACTGTAATGCTGGGGTTGTTGTTTGCAGTGCCCCTGTAGCCACACGCGGCACCTGAACCCTGCTCTCTCAATCAACCGTCTGGACCCATCGGAAAGCAGGAGGGCGACGATGTGAGCAGAGGGGTGGGCACGGCAGAACGCACCAGTTTCTTGGGAAGGTTCTCGTCACTCTCCAGGGCTTTCCCCAGCTTCTTCAGGCACTGCATGAAGTCATCGAACCCCGACTCCCGCTTCAGCTCGTACAGCAGGGAGGAGTAGCCAAGCACAGCGTCGTGGAAGCAGGCCACACGATCCACGTCCATGTCGTTCTCCCCCGCCGAGATGGAGGCCAGGTCCACGAACACCTTGAGCTCATTTACATCTGGGGGGAAATTCATCAAGTGGGTTTCCTGCAGGTGCATCTTCATCTTTGCTAATAAAAGGGTCCTGGCAGCCCCTTTAGTGGGACCTCTCACTTACATCAGCTTTACTGAGTAAGCCTCCCACTGACCCGAAAGGACTAGTCCTCAATTTTCTAGCACTGCAATTGCAGTGACACTACAGTAGAGAAGGAAATAGGAGAGCAGAAGTGACCCAAAAAGGCAGCTCCCTGTTACCAGGTGGGACTGATCTGCCCCAAATGCCAGTGAGACCGCATCCTCCCTTCCTCACCCCCGGGCTGACCCCTCCGGTTCCTAGCAGCAGAGAGAGGGCAACCTTGATTTTACCTTCCAAAGCCTCTTTGACCCAGTTGACAAAGTCCTTCCTGACTGTGAACTGCTCCAGGCACCTGCGAAGGGGCTCCCTGATCTCTTCCAGCAGCTGCTTGGCTTTCATGAGGTCGGGGCTGATGTAATCCAGCCTCTCTTCCTTTATAGATTCCAGCTGGTTGCGCTGCAAAGCAAGACGGCGCAAAGGAATTGAAAGAGCAGCCAGAGTAGGATCAAGGCTCCTATAATCCCTCCCCCATGGAAAAGATGCACAGCCATAGCATAGCTGCTCGTGCCTAACCTGATATTCAAGTTCCACATGCAAAAAACAGCCAAGTGTCTCTTCTAGATACTCTACATAAAGCAAAGGTACGTGCCAGGACCACACCATGGTGAATGCAATCAAAATATGTTGGTAGTCAATTCTGGCATAAGACACGGATATTCAGAACTGGCTACTAAACGCACAGAGAACTGTAGCTGTAGATTGATCCCACAGCATGTTAATGTTACTCTGCCGCTGGTTCGTTCCTTTGCTAATAGGACTGATAAATGGCTAGCCAGCTTTCCAAGGTGCTTGGATGCCTACGCAAAAGGGAATATCTCTAGGAGACTGGACGGCTTTATTGGGACCATTCACTAACAGGGCATCCTGACAAGCAAGGAGACGCTTGCTTTACATGGCCTTCCCGGGCAGCGTTTGAAGCACAAATACTTACAAAGTTCAGAATCTTGTGGATTTTGCTGAAGTCACCGGAGAGGTTTAAATCCTCTCTGATCTTCGCAATCACCACAGCAGAGTCCATAGCCAAGTCCAGCTCGTGGTATTGTTGGATCTGCCGAAGACGCAGCTCGATCCATTTTCTGTCACCTTGTTCCTGCAGTTTGCACATGAGCTGGAGGTCGGATTTCAGACCTTCGTAATGGTTCTTAAAGTCTCTGAAGACATCATCCACCTTTGCAAAGGTCAGCTCTCCCGATATCAGCTCACGATGAAGTTTCTGATATTCACGGTAGCAAGGAGAGAACAGAGAGTCGTACACTTCATTGAGGCGTAGCGTGGGGGTGGCTCCTTCATCCAGATCTTCTTGTTCCTCCATTTGCTCTTGCGCTGCCTTTTTCCAGCAGAACTGGAAGACGCTGCTCTCCTTGAAGGTGCACATAACCTCAGCCACCTCCCGCAGCTCTGGGCTCAGATTGTAATAGGTTTTTATGGGACCTCCGCCGGGAGAATCCAGTGTTCTCACGTCACAAACCTCATAGAGTCCTTTTGCGCCCAGATCCTCCTGAAGTTTCTCCTCCACATCAGCGGTATCCACTGAACACAAAAGCCAAGTCACAGCACAGAAATCCCAATGTCAGTCTGAAACCAGCTTTAGCCTATTCCCACTTCCAAGATCTCTTAACCAGACAATGAAACCCACAACCACTCAACACCCGCCTCATACAACCCTAGGAAGTCTGAGGTTAGCTAATGCTCCCCGCCTCAAGCTTTTCACTGAACTTTTTCCATCTCTGCCTCCATCCCCTCCCAGTCTTGCCCTTCCTTGCCTCATTGCCCACTGCTGCTGCAATGAAGTCAGTGCTAAAACAAAATCACCGCTGCAGGAGAATCTGCCCCCCTAGAGACTTCACTGGACAATACCTCTTATAACTGTCTGCACCATCCTGCACATGTCCAGGAGCGCTGTCACCCATTTCCTCTCTCTCTCTACAGATATCTTTTCCTCCCTCCTGAGCACCAGCATTTTTTCCAGGTCATGGTTCAGCTTTGTTCTTTCCAGGGATGGAAGATGCTTATGCTCTGAAATGAAAATGGATGATGGTTATTAAGAAAAGTACATCCCTGACCTCAGCACTCATGTAAATGGGAATAGGACTGGTCTATTCAACAGCTGTATCCTCAACACACTAGGCAACAACGGTGCCAACATGCAGCAACAGCAACCAATGTAAGCGAATGGAAGGTGCAATTCCACGTCGCCCCAACCATGCATTGCAGCAGGCCCACGTCCCATCCAGAAGAGTAACGCTCCCCTCTCCACCCTCCTTGAAGGCCCAGAGATGAACACTCACTCAGCTCCCATATGCAGAGAAATTGTTTCTTGTGCTTTAGAATGAGGTCTAAGCGCTTAACTAGTATCTCTCCACTCTTGATGTGTTCATCGATGTGCATGAAAACCGAGTCAGCCATGGCCATTAGCTGCTTGGCTTCACCAGTAAGTTGATCCAGGACCTGCCCATTGGCTCCTGTCAGAAAAAGCAGGTGGGTAAGTGTCGAATCACGCCTTCTGCCATCCGATTCTGGGCACGACACCGCTGGGATGTTTTGCCATCACCTTTCTCGGTGATGATTGGAAACAATCTCTGCTACGTGGCCAGGTGCCATGCTTCAGACTTGTGTCTTCAGCCTGCCCTTGAATCCAACAAACCTTTCGGGTAAGCCAGCCTGTCACTCCTAGTACCGTTATAAATCTAGATTACAAGAGCATACGGTGTGTCCCAGCAGAGAGGAGAGCCTTATTCTGCTGGGCATTGTACAGAGCAAATGTCTCTGCCCCAGAGATCTTACAGACAGTCTAACCAGACAGAACAGAAGAGGGGCAAGAAGGTACATCATGTACGACCAGAGCTGATGGCACAAAAGTCACATTAGCTGCAGGATTTTATTAGTTTAACACTCTTAAATGAGGTTTGCACACACAAAACATGGCAGATTTATAGGCCTTCCAGGTCAACAGGGCTGTAGGAGCATGGTGTAGCTCTGCCTTACTCTTCAGCAAGTCTCCTCTTCTCCCCATCATTTTGCAAACCCACTGTCAAGCATCTCCAAATGCACAGAGCTTTCCATTTTCCCATAGTTGCTGGGAGTCCCTTTTGCAGCATAAACAATAGTTTGGCTATGAAGGGAAAACAAAAATCCTTCACTTTTACCTGGTAAACATTCCCAAGTGAAGCTCTATATACCTTTCAAACTCCAGCAGCTGACCTAGTTCTTAAGAGCTATCACTGCCCCAGCCTGAGCTCCTTGCAAAGAAACGTTTCCTTCCCTGCACAGCAGCACATGCAGAGCTATCGCCCGTCACAGTTTCTCATACAAATTCAACACAAGCATACCATTGAAGTTGAAAAGATGCTTGATGTCTGGCCACGTAAGCAAATGAAGTAGGACTTCATCGAAGTCATCCACAGGCCTTCCATTTTTGTCAGGGATCCAGGATTTTGTGATCACTGCTGACACGAGCTTACCAAATTTGCTCAGGTTGTAAGATGACACCATGTCCAAGAGGTTTTTCTGAGACTGTAAAGCAAAGAACATGGGTGAGGTAGGGATTACAGCAATGCTCGTTTTGTATGCGCACTGATGTCATAAGGGTCTTTTTGCTATCCACCAGGATTTCAAAGCCAAAAATCCAGTTCAATCTTATTCGAGCAGGCATGCTCTAAAATAATGGAGACCTGGGGCATTTCTAAAATCAACCTTTACACCAATAATAATGTAAAGTAGCTGGCATCGACTCTACGGAAGGTAGTAAGCATCACTGAAGAAAGTTAAGTATTTCTTCCTTGATCTCTATGTAAATTCCCAATTCCCGACATTCTGGTTTGAAAAAAACCCAGAACACAACCGAATTGTTCAAGGCACACCAAAAATTTTTTTAAAAAGCCAACATGCAATTGTCTGCAGTTTATAAAATACAGGTCTCCTGTGAAGGTTAACAGATCACATCTCTGCCAGAAGGTCGAATGTTCGACTCTTAGATGGGAAAGGGTGGAGATAAAGTGGAAAGTCTGTTTCTGGATGGTCAAAGACTCAGGATCATTACTTCTCCCCTTGCAACCAGGAGGGGTGGAAAGGTATAAAGACCACTTCAGATGGGGTTTCTACTCAAAGGAGCACAGATTACCTGGCACGCCATGTTAACAGCTTCTATAGCACAGTTCTCAAAGGACTTCCCGATGTAAGAGTCTAGCTTGTTGAACTCATCGTGATGGGCGCAGTAGGCTTTGATCAGTTGAACTGGAGGTTCCTATTGAAAAAGTGATAAAGAGTTATTTTTCTAAAAGAATAACCAAGGGAGGGGCATGTTTTTAACAAGAAATTAAGAATGGGGGAAAAAAATAAAATGAAATGAAAAATCAGGTTGGGGGTTTTTTTGACCTTTATGCTGTCACTTCAATGGCCCAAACTTGGCACATGACTATTGACAACACAAGAGAAGCCACTGGGAAGACAAGAGAAGAAAGGAAAGTCTGCTAATCAGTCATTTTCTCTCTGCAGTTCCCACCTCCTCTAGTCCGTGGGACCGGGAAGCACCAACCAGCGAGTCAAAGGTGCAACGCTCAGAAGTCTCAGTTCTGTACAGCTTGGGTCCTTGGGCCGTTTAAGGAGCAGTGCCTGGAATAAGCACCTTCCCAAGAAAACATGGCACAGAGGATGATGACGTTTCCTGGGTGCGCTGGTCCCCAGTACCCTTCAGGGTTTGCTTGTTAGACATCTGCCACGTGCAACACTTTACATGTGGGCCCAGAAAGCCTTGAATACCGCAAACCCCCTGCATCTTCCACGAAAGGAATTGGATGAGGATAGATGGCTATTTTAGTGCCTGCCCTATGCATTTTAAGCATCGTACAGCATATGGACAACTCGGGTGCACCACACCCTTCCCTCGCTCTGCTTTGGCTATAAACACGGGGGTGTTAGCCAAGCCTCTCAAAGGTCCGGAAAAAGCTGAAGGCCTCTAGCGGTAAGAGTAGGAAGGAAGTATAAAATGCACGGTCCTTGAACCCAGCTAGGGGAATCTGAGAGGGTCTGTTTGCCGTCTCCCTGGTGGAAGAGCCTAAAAGTCATTGCCTGTCACAGGAGAGCTTGCTGCTGCTGCCTAGCTGCACTAGCAGCAAACCTTCACAGCAAGATAAAAGCAGCTGCTTGAACAGACTGGCCCCAATGGAAAGAGAAGAGGTGGAAAACTAAAAATCAAGCCCTACAGTCTAGGAGAGGCTCTGAAGCAGCAAGTTGTTTTATAAAAAGGAGGGCTGGGACTTTTGCCACCACAAAAAGCTGTTTAATCATGGAATGAGTGGTCCATCTCCTACTGAAGTTAATGGGAGTCTTTCTTCTGATTTCAATAGCAGCTGAATGAACCTCCACTACTGTTTCTCTCCCACAGAAACTTCCATTGGTGCAAAAATCGTTTAAGAATAAAATTATTGCGAGAGAGAAATGCACCCACTTTAAATCGATCCACAAGATGCACATATGCAGGAGGTTGGTACCTTTTTAATCTTCCCTTCCAGGTCAGAAACTAGAGTTTTCTTCCACGTCTCAGTGAACTGTTCATCAGGAAAGGTTATCTTCACAAACTGATCCCAGACCTAAGGAGAGAGGAAGACTTGGAATGGTGCTACACACAAATAAATGCTCTTGATGCATCATTCAAAACACACATACAGTGGCATGCACACAGTGCAAGAAAGGGTTTTATTTCTGTCATCCTGATTCACTCTGGGAGACATGCCAGAAGTTCAGATGGGGCACGCCGCACCCACCAGCTAAACGTATTTCTAGAACAGATTATTCCAGTCCATGGAATCCGAATTTAAAGGAGGATGTGGGTGACCCAGTCCACGTCAGAAAATGAAGACAGAAAAAAGTCACTAGAGAGGGGACAAGTGTCCTGGACAGCGGTATAATCTGTAGAGCCCAGCTAGCATCAATACCAACCCTTTTCAATATTTAGGCACCCAACATAGCAGCCGTTTTCTTTGCAAGTAAGGTCGGAATAGAAAAAACCAAGGACAAAAGTTGGGGAAAGGCTGGAGACTCTGGCAGTCATTAAAATCGGAAGCTTTTTCCCCAGCTACGCAACTCAAGAATACATACCTGCAGCTCGTTATGGAGAGCGGCCCCATACGCACTGTAGTACGGCTTGCTTAAACAATCTCGAAGCCACTTTCTTGTCTGGCTCAGGAGATTGTTCAGGGTATCCATCACTGATATACTCCGATGACTTCCACTTGTTGAAGCATCTTTTGAAACCTAATGTTACATTAAGGGAAACAAAGCCAACAGCACAGAAATAATAAATACCTCCGCGGTCACAAGGCCTTGGAGAGATTTCAGAAACCTTAGGAGAGGGACCAGGAGCTCCTGTTTTGGCTGCACCCCCGCACACACCAATCCCTGGGCAGAAGGACCACAGGCAGTGCCATGACAAGGAGATCGGTAGGGGCTCGCTCTGTGGCCGCGAACACCTGCAACTGACCCGGGAGCCAGCTTTTTTGCGCATGCAAGTCTCCTACGTCTAATAAAACTTTTTTACAGAAAAAAATGCACCATGGAAGCTCAGATCTAGGTCTCAGTTATATTTGCAACAGAATGTATTTTTAATATAACAAGCCACGCAAGTGAAGCACAGCTGAATGAAGCTGGAGATCAATCACTGTTAGTAGTCTTACAGTATTTGCCTGGCACAATGCAGGAAGGGAGATAAGCAGCTAGAATGAAACTCAGGGAACTACAGAAGCAAGCGCATCCCTGACACTGAATAATGAATGCTACTAATTATGCAAATACCTACCTCCAAGGATGTAAGGCCACTAGCTCTGGAAACAATCACAGCTGCTGCAGCAGTAAGTCCAGGATAATAACTGGACTTGGTTTTTTTGCAGACGACGTCATAGAGTTTAGAGCAGACAATCAAGCAGGCCTCCAAGACGTCTTGTGGTAGGGGTCTAGAGCAAAATAAAAACGCACCCAGTTCTTTCAAAGTCTAAACACTTCAATGACTTCAGAGAAAGCGTAAAGTTCAGTAAGATCAGGGGGGTAAAGGAGGATTCGCGGTATACAGAATTGCCCTTGAGGCATCTCAAAAACAGCAGAACAATTTAGGACCCACTATGGAAATGAATTGCATCTATCCATCACAATGAAAATATATTTTACACAATGAACGAACACAACAAGCTTTGCTCCTTTCACCGAACACTTCCTTTTCCTCGGCTGCCATTGAGAGCCAAGCTTTTAGCGGGCTAGCACGCCCTGCAGACCCAGCGAGGGGTTAGCTCGAACCACAGGCAAAAGCATGTTTCAGCACATGAGAAAATTAGATTTAGGACTTCATTTACCTTTTCTGGTGACCATCCAGAAGCTCTGTCAGCTTGCTTAGGAGATTCCCTATTGACTGAGAAAGAAGGAGAAAAAGCTTTAAACAAACCACAAAAAAATAAAGAATGCAGAATAAAAAGGTCATGTTCACCCAAGAACCTTTACCTTAGTTTGTAGCCAAGTAGATATAGATATGCACAGGCACCCACCATCTAAGGCAGGGTCAGATTTGTATACACCCTTTGCTATGGCAAACAGCGAGAAACAACTTCCTTTTAGGAAAGGAAACTGAAGTACAAAAATGCAAAACAAGACTGAAATCATTTATTTAAAGTCAAGTCTTCTGCTTATTGACTTAAACTCATGATTGGAATTTGGAGTTAAGTCAATACTCCTGAAAAGAGCTACTTAAAGCTGCTGAAATATTTTCCAATTATATGGTTATGAATTATGAAGAGAAAATAAAATGGCTGGAAGGAAAAAACTACCATCCTCATTTGTCAAATACCATATTTATTGGCATACACACACACGTCCCCCCCTATTTTGCAGCCCTGAACACTTTTGAGCTTTTTTCAGAATTGCAGATTTACCCGAGATGAGTCTTCCGCAGCAACTAGGGTTTCAGCTTTTGATTAAGCAGGAAAGGGAGGGTAAGCGGGCTGAAGTTTAGGTTCCATCCCTTTTCTGTGTGCTTTTTCTTACATGGTGCTCTATTTGGGGGGGGATGCGGTATGCCAGAAAACATGGTATTAGTAAGATGCGTTTCCTACAGCAACAGTGTACAATCGCCTTCACTTGGTAATGACTATTGTAGGTAGTACCGATTAGGAGACAAAGATTTAGATTACTTAGCAGAGACAAACCTCAATTGAGGTGTACGTAATGTAGCTGCTTTGTAGTTGGTGGTAAATTCCTACAAGAGCATCCAACAACTGCACAGGTAAACGGGTCAGAAACTCTCCCAAGACATCCAGGGGCAGCAAGCAGAACCAGGAACGGCCTAGCATCTCGTCTGTTCTCAACAGGTATGCCTTTCTTTCCATGAGCTTCAGCAGCTGGTTCCTGCAGAGCAGAAAACATCAGAAACGTTAGACCCCCACACAGGAGACACGGGAAGCACGCAGAAGAGACCCACCCACCCCCTCTCGCTCCACCCAGAGACACTTCAGTCATTCATTGACATGCACATGTGGGTATGCATACGATGCACAGTCTCTTCTTTAAAAAAGTTCAATGGACACAAAATGCAAGAGGAAGGTGTAGGCAGACGAGGTTCTTTGGGTAAATGTGGTATCTTTTATTAGACCAACTAAATAGTTGGAAAAGGTTTTCAGGCACAAAACACCAGCCCTATAACCAACAGAGGAAGATGTTGCATTTTCTAGGTCCTTCTGTAGTGAATTTATAGAAAGGAGATGGTTGAACCAACACATTTTATTCTGTTCTCCCAATGATGAGAAAAGCCCCCCCCCCACTCCCTAGGGTGACCCACATGGGCACCCAGTGTGACAAGTCTGATTCTCGCCTCCCCACAGAGCAACGTTTAAGTTCACAGACTTCACCCTGAAAAATTTGCAAACTTGAGTAGTACATTGAGCAGCAGGACTGTCAGACACTCGGATATTGTCAGGGCCGCCAAAACGGGGCTGGGAACAAGAACCCCTGCAAATATTCAGGCTTGAGCTATTCACAAATAACTTAACTTACCCCTGATAAGACGTGCTGTTTTTGAAGTCATTGAATGCCAGACCTTCTAGCCCTGCCCAGTCCTCTTCAGATTTCTGGTGAGAGTCTGCTCCGGAGCGTCTGACAGGGTCGAAAGGATGAGCGAAGAAATGCAGAAGAGGAAGGATCCACACCCACTGACCCACTTGACTTTCCATGCATCTCTCGCACATATGGATCAGGTATTGCTTCATGCTGCAATGGATAAGAAAGACGCCCAAAGTGACGGACGGAGAGTTAGGGAAGTCTGGAAAGGGAAATAAAAATGGTGCACTTGGCCTCTTGGACAAATGTGCACCTGGGAACGTGGCTCTAGAAATCATGGGAAAATAGGGCTCAGGAAGCCATCTAGTCCAAGCCTCTGCTCAAGGCAGGATCACCCGCTATTAACCCACCCAGTCACATGTTCTTCCAACCTGCGTAAACACTCCCAAGGATGGGGACTCCACAACCTCTCTGGGTAGCCTGCTCCAATTCTCAATCGAGTTCTTCCTCATAACCCAACTAAAGCTCCCGTGGTTCAGCATGGGCTTGGCAATGCTACGCTCGCTAGCACCACTACCAAGAGACCTGGGGTCACAACTGACCACAAGATGAGCATGAGCCACCAATGCGATGTCGCAGCCGGCAATGCAAATAAAATCCTGGCTTGCATCAACCGATGCATTCCTAGCAAGACCCAGGATGTCATCCTCCCGCTTTACTCGGCCTTGGCGAGGCCACAGCTGGAGTAGTGCATCCAGTTCCGGGCTCCACTATTGAGGAAGGACGTGGAGAAGCTCGAGAGAGTCCAGAGGAGCCACATGCGTGATCAGAGGGCAGGAGAGCAGGTCTTATGAGGAGAGGCTGAGAGCCCTGGGACTCGTCAGCCTGGAGAAGTGCAGGCTCGGGGGGACCTGGTGGCTGCCTACAAGTACATCGGGGGTGTCACAACCCAAAGGGTGTGATTTTTGTTTTTGTGCGCTTCAGCACTGCTAAATTGTTCCCGCTAAATTATCGCTTCGTTGCACGGTGGAGTTTTCTGCTGCAAAAGAGAACCCCGGTGCAAGGGAGAATTTCCCGCCGATTTGAAGCTTTCTTTGCAGGGTGCATTTCTTTGTTGCAGCACAGAAATGCTCGTTGCAAAGAGTTCCCGCCATTTGTATGCTAATTCGAGTCCCATTATTGGCCAGTTCTAAATTATTCACACGTGGCGGCTAGTGATTGGCTTGCTAGCCGTATAAAAGGCTTGAGTGGTTTCCGCCCAAGTTGGAGGACTCCACGAACAAGGGACGAAGAGACTTCATGCTGTGTGAAGATCTCTAAGCGCTGTGGATCCTTACGGACCCAGTGCATTTCAAGCAGGCAACGGAGGTCTGATCAACCTCTAGCCT